TCTTAACTTAACAAATATGGCCATTCCCATGTTATATGTCAGGCTATGTGTAGTCATGTGTTCATATGTACAGTCTTTTGTATTTTTTTTTATATAAGTCAATTGATGTTCCATGCTAAATAAATCTCTCATCATCTTTTACATGCCAATTAGCTCTACCACATTTTACTTGTCATATTTTCATATAATAACTGTTAAGCTAAATCTCCTCACATTCTACTTAAAGGTTCATATAACTTAATTGTCATTTCTCACTATGTACATGCAAATCTCTATCGTAGTTCATTTCATTGTGAGTGTACTCAGTATATTAGTAGGATATTTTTGTATTCCAATACACTAATAGTGTAGAGATTTCTATGAATGTAATAATACATTTGTATACAATATTTGTACATGTTGAGACTTCTTACCAGGACGCCGAATAAAGAACATTAACCTTAATGAAGCTGTCTTCGTATAATTTCAGAAAAAAAACAACAAAAAGACCAAATAAACAACATAATAGTATCACCAGAATTACATGTCTCCCTATTGCAAATGCCTGTAAGTGTTTTATTGTTGAAGATAGCATTAAATAACCTTAATGATCACTTAGATAAACTTGTTATTAAACACATTTAATTATATACAAGTGATTAACATAGTTATTGTAAGCATTGCGAGCTTTTCCCTTGTTATAGTATCATGATATATCATATACATTTCATTAAAAACAAAACAAAAACAACTTTATTTAAAACCAATTATTAAGTGAGCTTTAATATTCACTAAATACATTTAATTTGGTAACATGTACACTTTTTTCTAACCTCAGTCATTTTCACACAATAACCACTACATCAATCGGTTTTACTCTAATAACGCCTCACATACCAGTTCGATTTTTAATTGAATAGCATGTTTGTAATCACAAACGTCCCCTGTTTATGAATATCTACATTTTTATACGGTCTAAACGCCAATAACAAAATTCCAATTGACTTAGTAGATTTTTTGAGAAGAATTCCAGCCCAACCCTAACCCTAACCCTAACTGTATTCACTTTACCCCTAACCACGAGTCATTTTTACTTTAGTAACACTTTTGGTTTCTTTTTAGTATTTTTGCGTGTTCTTTTTCTTTCTTTCTTTTTTGTTTTTTTTTTTTTTTTTATTTATTCCTGTTTTCTTTAAGTCTTTCTTTGCCGTTAGGGAGATGATTCAGATGACATTTAAGTCTTTCTTTGCCGTTAGGGAGATGATTCAGATGACATTTAAGTCTTTCTTTGCCGTTAGGGAGATGATTCAGATGACATTTAAGTCTTTCTTTCTCGTTGGGTAGAGGTTTCAGATGGCACTTAATTTTTGCATTAATGCATTTCCAGGTACACATTTCCCTGTTCTTCTTCAATTGCTGTCGGATTCCTACTTTCTTGTAAAGATGCTCTTCGTTTAATCCTGGTTCTTGGTGCCGGAGGACTTCGTGGATTACAAGATAAATTTCGTATTAACAGCTCTTGTTGTCTTTGTTTCTTCTCCAATATGTTTAATGTATCCATGAATGAGCAGTGCTTTGGACATTCCAGAAACGTGTAGATTTTATTTATTTCGAATGTATTTTCTTCCACCTTTTCTTGTAAATTTCTAATTTCGTTCTTTTCTGCATTCTTGGATGATAGGTAAAACCTAGTTATTGTGTGATAGGTAACACTTTATGTATCACCTAGTTATTGGGTGATAAGTAACACTTTATGTATCACCTAGTTATTGGGTGATAAGTAACACTTTATGTATCACCTAGTTATTGGGTGATAAGTAACACTTTGGGTATCCCCTAGTTATTGGGTGATAAGATAGCTAACTCGATTTTGGCCTTGTACATTTGTACACTTTAAAAATACACAACGCGAAGTCATTTGTGTGGCAAACTCTCATCTCCTGAGCCCGCCTACTACATAACAATGCTTCATGCTAAATTTGGGCAAAATTCAATCATCACTTCCGGAGGAGAAAGACTTTGAAAGCATTTGCTCTATCCTGCCCCTCCTACCCTAGGAAGATATTTCCTTTTTTGGACGGACTCTGCAGGGTCCGCTGCCCATCATCGTTTCAGACGAAATGGAATCTAAGTCAAACCGGGCGAACTGGGAAGGATTGATGGGAAAGTTTTACACGTTTTGGGACAATGTGACATGCTACCGAACATTAATATTTTAGTTTGTATGACACACTGTAAAATGTTTGGGCCATTGTAGACATGTCCAGGACATTGACTCGGGTTGAAATGTCTGTTACTCGATGTGATTGAGTAAGATTTTGAGATCCCTAAATCTGTGACGAGTTGACTTTTCTTACACGTGAGTATTAGGCAATTTGATACATGGGTGGATGTGAAACACACAGAAGTCAGTCTAATCCAACCGAGAGAACACAGTTCTTGATCAATCGATGTCCTGCGGTCATCTAAAATGTTATTCTCTACGGTCATTTGAAGGAGTTTGGCAATGGAAAGCTTATGAACCGCGAACTTTGGTTATCACTTACTCATGTAAATAAAGCAACAAATACCAAACTGACTGGGCTGATACAATTGTTAGGCTATCCTAACAATGGAAAATAAAGATACAGTGACGTAGCCATTAACGGATCACTAGTGAAACTTCTCGTGTTTTTGAACGGATGTGTATTAGAATTAAATCTAAATCTATGTTGTATATAAGATTTTCCTGCTCTTTAATGTGAGCTAATCGGGAATTGATTTTATGCATGCAGTAATGAGAATTTACCGTTTTCAAACCGTTAGTAAGCATGCCAATAGCGAATCAAATGCGCCAATCACGTGACGTTCGAAGAGGGTTTTTCTCATAACATTTATTACCTGTCAGAAAAAAAAAATCACCTTATGTTTTCTTAACGTATTAAACACTAAAAATCGTTTATTTCTACCACAGCTGTATCCAGAATTGCACAGCATGACATTTAGTAACGAATAAAACTAAGAAATGCATGAAGCACTGTGAACAATGTAATATGTAGACTGGATTTGTTATACAATTGTAACGACCGACGTCTCACGACCCCCTAGTGGCCGCACCGCGGACGTCACCTCTGTTGTTACAATAATAAAAGTGCCCAATGGGTTCGACTGCCGCTTTCGCTTGCAGATTTCACAAACAAATTTCAACAAAGTACTGGCAATAATGACGAGAAGAATTAAAACAGATTCAACAATTTATTATATATTTTACAAGAGTAAAGTTTAGCATGAAAGACATTTAACCGGCTCAGTGAGTGTTTTTAATTAACCCTAACAATGTACAGAAGCCACCTGAAATAAACAAACTTTTACCTAAACTAACTATCAGGCAGGAACCAATGTCGTGGTTGTCGAAACTCTCTAGCTAAATTAACTCTCGGCCCACGGAATCTGACACCGTTCCTCGGAGCGAGTCTCAAACCTCGCCGAACGGACAAATCTCCGCCACGTGACCGACTCCAAATTTACAAAGTCCAACTCAACACTACCGCCTTCTCCTACGTTCGTCTTGGCGAGGGGGGCACACAAAATCAGCCTCAAAGAATGAGAGAAAACTACTCCCCGAGAATACCAATTCTCAAATTATCCACTATTTAACAAAATTTCAACAGCTAGCGAACGTTCCCCTCAATCACGACACGAGGTTCCAGCCAAAACTTAAGTCCGCATAAGTCGAAAAATATACCAAAATACACAGTCCGAAATCAAACATATCGGGTTGTAGGTGGCAACTGATGTTTAGTAAACCATTTTATAACATTTTAGGGAAGAGATGGGCGCTGACAACACAAAAATCTAACAGATTACCCTGCCCGAATTTCAATACCGACCTAACGTGTCTTGGCCTCCAAAGGAAGAGGCTGTGACGTCACTTTTTCTCCCAGAGTTCCTCGCTTCCTCGGACAGGGTTGTACTAAATTCTGGAAAAACGACATAAAGCAACCCACGCGTCGCTACACAATTATGGACTTTGGTGCTGGTGAAGCCGAGGTTAATATAATTTTTTCAGGTTCATATCACATCATATTTACCAGCACAGAAGTCCATAACTGTTTTATTATGTGTTCAATAAGAACACAAAACATAAACAAAGATTCTGACTTTATTGAAGGCTTTAACATCCTGACAGCAGAATGAGACAAATACAGTATAACAAAATACATTGTATACTCTTTTAACTTAATAATAGTGGACATTGATCAGAAGAGATATCATAATATGAGGAAAAAAAAAGTTGAAGCCTGTTAATGTTTCGTATAAATACATGGATCTGGCTATCCAACTCTGGGTGTCATACATACTTTATTTACCAGGGAAAATGTTATAGTTAATTGTGACCTGTGCATTTTAACCAGTGATAAATGGGGCCTGGAATTGTGAAATGGGGAAACCACTGTAATTCAGAACATGGGATACATTGTTCTTCACATTTGTCTGGCTTGGCACGGTATTAACATTTGGTTTGACATGAAGTTGATCACTATCTAAAACCAAACTCGCCGCAATATAATTAAATTCATCAGCATCAAAGTCACCAAGTAAGGTGTTCATTTGTGAATTGGACAGAGGCTGTAAAACTGAGTTTACTAAATCAAAATTGCCTAAATCTGGAATATCGAAATTCATATTTTCAGCTTCAACAACACCGGTTACGCCTTTTTCCATCTTCATCACAGGTTTGTCTATGTTCAAGCCAATTCCCCGACTAATGGTGTGAGACATGTGTCTTTTGGTGTTTACATCTGTAAATCCTGTATAGGTTTTAAAGCTCTGCTCGGACTTGTGGCCAGTCACAGTCATTATATGTTGGCTTGGTACTTGAGCAGAATCCAGAAGATGGATAGAGGTAGCTCGCAAGCTGTGATTTGTATACTTGCGCGATAAATCATATTTTGTGCTCAAAGATGTCATAAGTCCGCCAAGTTTGTTATGTCCAATGGGAACATTGTCGAAGTAATGTCCGGACTTGTTAGGGGTCCTCCTTACTTTAGGGAAAAGGTAAGGACATCTGGGGCCAGCATTTTCACATATCTTACAAAAGATTTTACTGGGCACCTGTTGTCATCTTCTGCAACAAACATATTGGATTACATGAGTACGTTTAAAATTTGGGTTGGGGACTTAACGAGATTTTCACTTCAACTACTATGCTGTACTGGGTAATTCATTCTGATTGTGAATATTATGGTTTCAAAGAATTGATGTTATTTTGATTTTTTTCCTTTTCATATACTAGAAACAAGTATTTAATAGCATTGTACATACCTTTGATTTCATACATTCTGCCCTGTGCAGTATTGGTGTCTGTCTGGTGATTTTTCGTCAGTTCATCTTTGTTGGGATAAATGTACTGCCATCCTTTGGCATCTGTCGTTGTAGCGAAGTCTGTTCTGTTAAGATTCTGTGGATTTCCTCTGCCATGACTGCCAAAATGAAGCATTATGTTCACAAAAACTTTGCTTTGTAAGGATTCAGGATTCCTGACATCAAAGGAAGAGTATAACTTCTCCAAATCAGCTTTATCAATTGGTGGGTGATGCTCGATTCCACCTAGACCTTGCCTTTCGAGTTCCAATGTCATTGTTTTTAAAGCTAGTTTCGACCTGGGAAATTCTGTACCGTGGATGATGTCAAATCCTTTTAAGAATCTATTTAATCCATGTCTGATAGATGTTAGTGTAGACTTCTTGTACAATTCACTTTTACCAGTATGGGCCTCCTTGTAGAATTTTGCTAGTGTCAAGTCTAACACGTCCACATCGTATTTTTCAAATTCAAGATCCAGGTTTTTTTCCTTGAGATACGAATGAAGAACACGCACTGCATGCTCGGTTGCCTTTTTGGTGTTTACACCATCTTTATCCCCCAGCAGTTTTTCAAAACCCTCATCTGTAACAGGTGAAACATTCACCGGCAGCCATCGCAACGTCTGTGATTGTCTGACAGATTGCGTTCCGGTCTAACTGCGCAAGCACTGCGACAAGCTGTAGGGAATTTCCATTTGGGCTATATTTAGAAATCGATATTTACTGGAAAACCAGTCCTCATCAGTTTTGAGAACTGATCATGTGTATAGGATCTAGCCAATGTGATTTCGAGAAAATTTCATGCATATGTAACACCGGTCAACAGATGAAAGACTCTTGGTGTATGTTTAGAAATTTATTGGTCCGAGGAGAAAGACCAGGGTCTGTGCTGGGGGTCCAGAAATATTAGATCGCGTCCGTCCACCAGCATAGGCAACGTAAGAGTGAAGCCTATACTGGTAGCGTCACTTAGGTGGCGGGAAAGGGTGAAATGGTAACATGCATCCAATCACACGCTCACAGTACATATATCCCTATGTGCACTGGTGACCCTACGACCCGAATATATTTAACCCAGGTTACACATATAATAATATAAAATAAGTGGTAGACAATTTACTCTACCAGGTAGCCTCACTTGTTAGAGTGCAGGACGGTACTGGTATTTTGGTATTCCTGCTGTTGTTTTACATTTGGTTTCCAATATACTGCGTTGGTTTTTACAGTCGCTACTGTATTCGTATTTCAGTCATATAAGTGACGTGCAGCTAAATAAAAGAGGGGGGGGGAGACCCCACGGATCGATGTACAAGGTACAAAGACCACTTGGGTAGAACCCACGACCTACCGCAAGCAAGCTGGAAGGCTTCCTCACATAAAAAGGCTTCCAACATAAAAGCTATGTGTTAGGCTTCTTCAACAACTCAAGAATGTGATAATTTTTTCAGGGTTTAAATAACGTCCTACAGCACAGTATTTCAGTCATCTGGAGATGTGTACCTGAGAGATAGAGTGCTGTCACACTGTGGTCTCACATCGTAGACATGTGGCATTATACTACATGTGCACAACCAGTCACATTATATTGACAATGTGTCAACCAGTCCTGAAACTATCCTTAGATGCCGAGTGCCACCAAGTAAGGGAACTATGCCAGTGCTATTTTTAAACAACTTTGATATATTGAAGACAGGGACCAAACACGACCTTACCGTATTTCTCCGCCAATAAGCCCAGGGGGCCTGTGCATGAAATTGAGTCAAGAGTAAGGGGTGGGCTTATTGCCGGATAAGAGCCTATACCTGACCGATATCCTCGGTCGCCATCTTGGATTTTTCACTACTGTTATCGATGAACAAATCTATTCAGGCAAACGAAGACTGGTTAAAATGATTAAAATAAGAACAAGAAGAAATATATATAACAGGTTTGTATTAATTCCATATCAAGTAAAACAAATACAACAAAATCACCATAGCACTGTCAATGAGTCACACACGTGTCCATTAGGCTAATAAAAGTTCATGAACGATCAAAACCACCGAACAGAAGAGTCTCGTCATCGGATTCCTCTGAATCAAACAGAATACCATCGGCCCTGGTACCATCAATGTCCTCCTCAATGTCTGTATCCGCACCGCTGACACCTACTTCCTCGATAAGTCGTCGGGATTGAAGTGAGTTCTCGGATCCGGAGAGTGAATTGGAGATCCCGCAGCTGAGAAAAGAGCCGTTGATGGTCTCCTCGGTGACACTAGCCCAAGCTGTGCTGACCCATGTAATGACATTCTGGCGAGTCGGCTGCACGATGTTACCATTCTTGTTGCGTTGGGCGGTCCGGAACCAGTCTGTCCAATGTTGGCGCATCCATTGTATTAACATGGGTGTCCATCGGCTGAACTAAACCGGTACAACCTAAGAAAATAAACAGACAAAAACATTTCGTAAGAATAGTGCACAATTGTGACTTTGTGACCAGACGCTGTGGCTGACAGTGCTACGGTACAACCCTTCTTGGCCCCGCAGCTGTTCGTGATACGGACAGTCTTCTTGCCGATCATGGAGTTGGTCGTGGCGAATGGCGTGTCAAATCGGACCATGGTCTGATCCATGTTGGCAATGTTGTAAGCGGTATAGTCGTTGGCCTGGCGGAGGTGGCGGATGGCGTCGTGGAAGGCGGCGAACTTCTCCTTATAATCTGATGGCAGTTTCTGTGTGTCGTTGGTCCCGCAGTGAATCCCGACAGAAAAGCGCTTCTTCCATCTGCGTAGCCAGCCGTTGGATGCGATGAAACTATCAAATCGAAGCTGGCTGGCGATGATGCGCCCCTGAGCTTGTAGCATATAATTAGTCATGGCTCATCCCTCGGCCCTCTCCTCCACGAACCATTCAAACACGATGTTGTCAAGCTCCATAGACCCTGGTGGCGTCGCTGCACCAATCTTCTTCAGGGATCCTGTCTTCCCACCGGAGTTCATAAGTAGCTTGTCGTAATCGTGGTTCCATGTTCTGATGAGTTTCCGGTCAACTCCAAACTCCCTCTGTGAGGCGGAATAGTTCGAGCTGTTCCCTCGAAACCAGTGGACGATGTCAATCTTGTCCTTCACTGTGTAGCGCTTACGACTAAGAGGCATGATGACTGTAGAATGATGAAAGCAAGACACCTCTCCTTATTTATCCCATTACGGCACCTTTGATCTCAAGATGTCTAGCTCTTACTCAAAGTGTCAAATACTGATGTTATTTTAGGTGTCATTAGGCGCCATTGTTATAGCGACACCCGACTTCAACGGGCATGGCCTTTATAATTACTTGACTGTAACTGTTTTCATAAAGCGCGTGTTATACTCATCCAGTGACCACGCTGATCAATTAGCCACCTTTGTTTCACACTCACACTATTCTTACACTACGAAAACATACCAGGTATTATAGCCAGGGTAGTTTATACCTTTAATTAAGGTAACCTGGCCACCCATCAATGTGCTTGTGTATACACAGATGTACACGCATGACTGCGTCGATGAACATCGGCAGACAACTTTCTGGGTTAATGTATTCATACAAAACTCGACTTTTTTTTTATGATGCAACAATCTTACAAACACCGGCACAATACAAAACAAGACTGTTTTTTTATTCATATGATGCAACAAATACGACAGAAATTCTATGAGAAGTCTTTCAATCATCGACAGAATAACAGTTCAGTTTGCTCAGTTCATTCTCCCGATCGGTAAGTCTTCTGACCGGGACAGGTTGGCTTAATACCGGGCATCCCCCCTGTGCATGGGAGTCGGCAGAAAGGGGGGGGTTGGGCTTATTACCGGAGAAATACGGTACTTTAACGTCACGGACATAGTGTTACAGTTTCTTAGTCTGCAAGATGAATTCTTAATTTTGACAGTTTATGTGCTGCTTGGTACTTGCAATGTGGGTCACATGTCATGCAGCTAAGCAACATGCGACTTGATAACTGGACTACTGCAGGTGTGGTATTGTTTTTTTATCAACCACGAAACATGTTTGCGGGGGTTATTAAATTGGGCTCTGTCCGTCCAAGTCAAAACCGTGCAATTCAACTTCACAAAACTTTCTGTATATATTAAGCCATTGCCCTAGTTGTGCCTTTTGCTATTGTCGACATTTCACTTTTCATATTTTTTTCTGTTACCATCGAAACAGTCAGAAAACACCGAAAGAGCGCTTTTCCGAACTATAACTTTCAAACCGTTTAACTAAACTTCACAAAACTTTCTGTATATATTGAGTCATTGCCCTAGTTGTGCCTTTTGCTATTGTCGACATTTCACTTATAATATTTTTTATGTTACCATCGAAACAGTCGGAAAACACCGAAAGAGCGCTTTTCCGAACTATAACTTCCAAACCGTTTAACTAAACTTCACAAAACTTTCTGTATATATTGAGTCATTGCCCTAGTTGTGCCTTTTGCTATTGTCGACATTTCACTTATAATATTTTTTATGTTACCATGGAAACATAATCAGAAAACGCCAAAAGAGGATTTTTCTGGGCTATAACTTCCAAACGGTTCCACTCAACTTCACAAAACCTTCTGCACATATTAAGTGGGTGCCCTATTTGTGCCGTTTGCTATTGCCGTCATTTCACTAAATATATATATTTTTTTCTGTTTCCATGGAAACAGTCAGATAAGTTGACATATCAGATAAATGCCACTTAATTCTTAAAATGTTACATATTTGATTGGTATGATGTGTCTAACAAATTAATGTCGATATACTGCAATGGAATTATTATCTCCCCTTCTGCCATATGCTGTTAACATCATGTGGTTACCAAGGCATTATAATAACTATCGCCTGAAGATAGCTGTTATGCCTGAAAACGTTACTGAAACACATTTGTTGTGTTGATTCTATATTTTCAATTATATCTCTATATATATATCTATAATGTTGACGGTGAGGAGATGTGAGTTTATTATTTTCTACTAGTACTTTCACTGTAATAGACCTTCACGTGCAAAGTACTGATACATAAGTGTGTGAAATCTGAAATTATTACAGTGCTATATATAGCATATTTGGGTTCCATGCCACGCTTTGTGGCCCTTGGTTCTAGACCAATGACAAGATCTTGCATAAATCTGAATGACTGGATGGATTGAACATAATGCCAATGGAATGTATGTAGCATTTTAACAATAATGAATATTATGCATTGATTAATGTCACAACTTGTATGTTTTCTGTATACACATCTAAAACACAGCTCTTGTGTTCATAACAATTCAACAAGAATATGGCAATATTTTCCTAACCGGAGTGGTATTGCTCTGAACTTCTTTGAGATGACGTGGCCAATATTAATGTGTCTGACTTAAATTATTGCTATATACTATAGAGAAAACCAAATTTTGCAGTTTTTCCAATAGATAGGTTTCCGTTTCGAGGATTACCCATGATCCTCCGCGCCGGGCGACCATATTGCGTGGCAAGGTTTAAAGTTCATTTCGACTCCATTGACCCAGACAAATTTAAATCATTTTGTGTTGTTATAATGACGTCAACTTCCTCTAAACTTGGCAACAAGGTGAAGGTTGTGTACAGGGACACGTTGGACGATGTTTAAGGTGAGATACGACGAAAAATTGTGTTTTATCGGTGGCAAGGATCCGTACACTATGACAAAAGAAGAATGGACAAATAAAACTGAGGCGTACCCGGATATTCAAGAAATGGACATCGCCAAATATTTGATTCACACCGTCAGCGTGTATACTTTTGACGAGTTGAGGGGTAGGAAGTCTCTGGAAGCCTACAATTACTTCGTAAGTGGATGGGTACGGGATATAAAACATGCTACGATCGAAGATCGATGCGTTTTCACTGCACGAGTGCGCCATTCTCAACGAACCACTGATCCGTTCTTAGAGCCATGGTTAATAGCGGAGAAGAGTGGTAGTATGATAGGTGGACACTGCACATGTATGGCAAGACTAGGCGAAGTGTGTTCGCATGTATCGGATCTATTGTTTGCTATAGAAGCAACCGTGACCCTGAGGAACAGCAAGACTGTAACTGAAGAAAAATCCTACTGGCTACTTCCTTCAGCTATCAAAAAGGTAAATTTTACATTACACTATCATGTACCAATTATACTGTCTGCATATGACCTGGGATGTTGCATGGACACTGAACCCCAATTCACTCACCCAGCTATAATACATGTAGACATCCACTTTTTCCTGTAGATTATATGTAATCCAGTAATTTATAGATAGGGTAATATATGTAATCAATCATTACCAATGATGCACATGCAGACATGTAAGTAATGAATAGAATCTGAAATTATGCATTGATTTTCTCTACATTTTATATTTTTCAGGTTGATTATAAAACCATACAGCAAATAGATTTCACATCAGCAAAGACAAAGAAAAGAAAGCTTGACACAGCATTGAAAACTGGAGACACCCCCGCCCTATTAAAACGAAGGAAACTCCCAGATGTAACAGCCCCTACTTCACAAGAACTTGGTGACTTGTACAGCAATATCCACAAACTGAAATCAAAAGGAAAAAAAACAGCGATTTTGTCATTACTTCCAAGCTATGCTGAGGAATATAGACCCGCCTCCCTTAACAAGAAGTACCCCTTAGTACTGTCAGAACTGTTTGACGACAATTATGCGAATGCAGATGAAGAACAGCTGAACTTGAGATGTGAACAAGTGTTTGATGATTTGTGTATTACAGAGGAGGAAGCAAAAAATTGTGAAATGGATACAAGATCCCAAGCAAACTGTAAACAATGGTTCCGTCTCAGAGCGGGTA